ACACCATCTAAAAGAGGGAGACCAAAGTGGGGAAGGGTATGAAAAAAGACCAGAGGATAGTTAATTTAGTAAAGGCGTGGAGGCCACACCTAACCTCTTCTGGATACACAAGGGAGTGGAGGAGAGCCCAACTCCTTAGCTGCCCGATGACAATTTCAGTTTTAAAATGTCATTAAAAAAAAAAGTGGGTGGGGGGATGCTTATTGTGATAGACTTTGTGACAAATGGTATGGCAGCTAAAACCTATCTCAGGACTTGACACAATGTAATTACAGCAAGATTAGGCTAGAATGTAACACCCTGAACTCAGGCAGCAACCCTGATGTAGTCAATGGAAAGGAAGTTAATCTTGGGGGTGTGGTCTGCTTCAATATAAATGGGCACTGTAGAAAGCTTGCTTGCTTTTTGGATCCTGCCTTTGGCTCATCAACCTCTACATTGGGTTGGAGTCCACAGCCTGCCATATTGCCTGCAGAACCTGAGAGTTATTATGGACTTGCCATCTGACCTGCCAACCTTAGATTCAGCCACGTCTGCAACCACCAGCCTGCCCTTTTCCTGGCTATCTTGGGTTCCTCAGCCCCCTACTCCCCCCACAGCTACACAAGTCAGGAGATGGCTCCAGGCTAACATCTGATCCACAGAACTTGGAACTTGCCTGAGCTCTCCCCGCTTACACATCACTTTCTCAATGTAAATTTTTCTCTAAAGATACTTCTAAAAAAAACAAAAATAATTAAAAGATACTTCTAAAGCTTCACTGGTTTGCTCTTCTAGTGAGCCTAGCCTAAGATGTGTACTTACTGAGCCCGCCTGATAGTCTCTGCACTAGGGACCCATTAAGCACATACTTGTTTCTTTCCTTCTCATGGCCATCCTCCCAGCAACCCCCGTAATTCCATTTTATGAGGGAATCAAGATCTTAAAGCAAAGTATCTGTTATGTCCGGGAGACAAATGATGCTTGAGCTGTTTGTGGGTGGGGTTTGTGAAGGTGACCTCAGACCAGGTGTTGTGTTGTTCGGCTGTAGGCAGGCTGCTGGGAGTTAGGGTCGACTCAAGGTTACCTAACAGCAGCAGCCACAGCTTCTGTGGCTCAGCCAAATGACGACGGTCTCACCCGCCATTCTCACGGACCTTCATATTTGATCGTCTCAGAAACTCTTGAGAAGGCAGAGGGACGAAATACAAAACGTATTCGTTTTGGAAGCTGGGAAGCCAAGCTTAGAGGCGGCCTCTGTGGGACCACACAGCTGATGAGCTCCGTCCTTCTCACTCCAAGCATGCAGCTCTGGTGGAGTCCCACTGCAAGGAGCCCTCGTGGCACAGCCGTTAAAGAGCTTGGCTGCGAACTGAAAGGGTGGCGTGTGAACCCCCCACAGTGTTGCCTTTGCAGAAAGGCCTGATAGTTGTTTCTGTAAAGAGTACAGTCTTGGAAGCC